TATAATATTGAAGCTGGTGAGTGGGTAGTACAGTCAGTACTGGATGGTAATGATCTCACTAGTAAGAAATATCAAGAAAAGTATTCATCATACAGCAAGACCAGAACTTGGTGGATGGATCAGCTAATAGAATATTCCACAGAGAAGGAAATGAAGCTTCAGAGATACATCCAGTCTTTGCATCAAGAACTACAAGTGGCTCATCAGAACAAAGTATCACTACAGGAGGCTCTGACTGAGGCCAATAAACAAGGTACATGTACATGTACATGCATATACAGTGAGTGTGACATACATGTACATGTACATGTATAACATATATACCGTAGGTCAGGATATATTCACGGCTGCAGTTATTCGTGGTCATGAAAAATTCAATTAAAACCATGGAAAGTTTTAGAGTCTTGCTATGACAATAAAACCAAGTGTTTAGTGTTCAGCTATTCATCTGGTCTTTAGCAGCTTTAGTGGAGCCATTCACCAATAGCATCTGTAAACTTCTTGTATGGACCTCTATAATGTACCTCAGAGCTTTTTCAGCCTCTTTGCTGCAAATTGTTGCTAGCTCCAAAGAGACCAAGGCTTAGTAACACAAGTAAAACAAAAGCTTGAGAACACTGCAATAAGGTGCTTTCCTTCAATATCACGCAATTTTCAATTAAAAAAACACCTCAGTTTCCATGGTTTTTAATTGAAATTTTTATGACAGCGAATAATTGCAGGTGCAAATATATCCCGACCTACGGTATCTGCATGTAGAAAAAATTTGGAATGTAAAATATTGGAAAAATGTTTTAAGTTTGGCTAATTTTGACCCTTTGCACTACCACAGATTACCAACTCTATGAATTTGTAGAAATTTTGAATTACATATTGTACCAATTTTAGCTACATATGTACATTGCTACATGTAATAAGATAACAATTTAATGTGACATTATGACTACATGTATAATTATGATTTTTTAGGCTCTAAAGTTGATGGAAATACACTAGTTATTATGAATGAGAAATTGGAAATAGTACTACAAGAGAAACAGATTATTACTGGTTAGTGTATGATTATAGTACATAATATTAGATGAGTCTATTAATATAGAGGATA